GTATGAACAGCTTCATACAATCCCATACGTTCTATTTTGACACATAGTTACCGCCTAGCGTTTTCGCGTCCGTGCGAACGCTCGCTTAAAGAAAAATTGCCTTACACCTCGCATTGAACTGAAAATCCGTTCCTTACAAAACAATAATTGTGCTTTCCCTGTACTATAAACGACAAATATGTTATTCTTAATACTTGTATTTTAATAACTTTATTGTTTCAAGACATACTAGACGTTTAAACAATTGTCAACCGTCGCATTTGAGTTGGGATACCGCAAATGAACTCGACTGTACACAGCTTAAGTCGTTTGAGGTGCAAGTAGAATTGTAGTTGCAAGACTAAATAACATCGGTTTACACAGGTGTACTCGTGCCAGGTACGCTATTGTCTCACATATTTATTTGTTTCACACAAGAACAAAGTTGTGTTGGTACTTAAATGTGACAAAGCTTTGCAACGTCATCCTTTATACAATACTAGCCGTTCCCGTATGGCTCCATCCGCATGAAATTATGAAAATTTTATTTTATTGTTTACATTTGTAAAATTATTAATAGCAAATGTCAAACTGACATAACATGACAAACCTTGACAATCTTGCTTCCTTGACGTTGGCAGCAACTTATAGTCTCTTTCCCACATTAGGGATTTTATCCAAAATATTTACCACCTAAGTTTATTGGCGTGAAAATATATAGCCTAAAGCGTGACGTAAGTGTAGGGCTTTTTATAAAGAAAATAATTATTCAAAAATATGCTGTAATTGCTGAGATCTTAGGCAACAAAGAAGTGTTGCTTACGCTTTATTATAATAGTATAGATCACTTGGTGGTGAAACTAAGTGCATTTATTACATACATATAGTTAAACATTCAAAGGAATTATAAATTAGTTTTGGCACGAAATCAACTAAGAGGGCTTTAAAGCTCAAAAATTTTACTTTACGTAAAGTGGATATTTACGTTACGACTCATAACATATGAGGACAATAAATCTGTATGAGAACAACCGAAGCGTAAACAAGAGGGACGAATTTTCGTTATAATTCGGCACGCTCATTCAAGGTGTCAGGAATGGGGGATGGCGTCACGGGTACGTAGGTGTAGCCTGGGGCACGCAGCTCTCGCCCTCACACCAAAATTTAATTACGCTAGTTGTACACAGACAGCTAAGCTACACAGCGCTATATTTAAGCTAAAATAATCCTTGCAGTGACAGAAACTATGCTGTGTGATAGACACAGACAGAGATATATGTTAGAAGTGGTGTTTTATATCGTTTTACGTCAGCTTGGTGTTTAAATTTTACTTCTATAGTTTAACTTTACCTTAAAATATTGTTTAAGGACAAGTCAGGATTAATTAATGGAGCGATTCTATTCACGACTTCGTAGAAATTGTCTGTCGATACAGAACTATAAAAGTAAAAATTTATGTTATAAAAAAAAACGTGTTATAATAAAAGTTTGAAGGCATATTAGAAAGGGATATAACGATTTTGTCAGTCACTTTAGAGTAAAACTATAAAGTTTTGTTCGCTTCATTAATAGTATGACAAGTCTTTATTCTGCAGTGTATTTCATGAATTTCTCCGCATTGCCCTCTCTTATGTTAGTTGAAGTTTTTCAATATTTTAATTTAAACTTTCTATATCAATTTAAAAACCGCAATCAAATACTTCAATCGACTAAACGAAGTTATATTTTATGGTATGGATATTTAAAAATTCGCACAATGATTTTGTAAGACTGATCCTACAGATTATGGTTCTTACAAACACGTACGCTCAATATAATCGTATATTCACAGGCAATTAATACAATAAACATTTTAGTGTCGGTACTTTATTTTGTAATTCGTCCAATTAATTCACTTTCAAAATAAAATAGACTTTAAACCAAATATTAAAAACGCAAATAGACCGTCTACGGATAATATAACTTATAATAATAAAATGTTACGAATGCATATTTGGATATCAAATCCATAAGTACTGGTCCACAAAAATAATATGTCCAACATAAAAATGGGCACGTACACCATCAATCATTTTGCTTCAATGCTTGACGGGTTAAAACGTATAAATCAAATTGAATCTCTAAACTTTTGCTTTAAGAGAGAATATTTTTGTTTTAGGACTGAGATCTATATTCGTTTCTTGAGAGAAATCCGTAAATAGTAATTATTTTATATGAATCAGAGTACAATAATTCTATCATCCTGTGAATAATCAAACATTTTTCGACTGCTATTAAAATAAAGATAGGCTTTTAAATTTACTTAAAATATTAAAAATACCGATAAGAAGAAAACCGATCCTCCTAAAATATAAATTGTTAAAACCACTAATACAGGTTGAACTTTACTTCTCCCCGGCGTATTCTCCCCTGTTACTTTACCTTGGCACTTTGCGCAAATTAGGAGAGACTAATGCCGGCAGCTAGCAGTCGATGCGGCGCCAAGAGTCAAACTTTGTCACTTATCTCAGCTATAACGATAACTTCCTCACTCGTACGCCAAGACTTTGCAATAACAGCTCAGTAAGGTTGCCGGTATTGAATCGATACGGTTATTAATAACTCTTATTGAATAAATTAAGCTTTTAGATTAAAATCAGACCGCATTCTTTGATTGAAGTTGGAGACGATTTTGTACGAAACATCTTTAGTAACGTTCTGTTGAAGTCAATATTACACACCAGAAAAAATTGATATACTTTTATCATGTAGACAAGTGGTACGATTTTATTTAATTTGCGATAGGTTAAAGAAAATTATTATTACTTGACTTATGACAACATTTTTATAGTAAATAAAACGATTGAAAGAACATCTTTATACTATTGATAGATTTTGAACATCAACCAACACAATAACTTCAAGGGGACGAAAATGTAGACATTAATTCTAAAGTTTGGGGAAAATTAATATTTATGCTTCTTTTAAAGAAGGGTGTTACGACGCTTAATAATTGTGCAGCAAAAACATAATATAATACATTACTTTTATTTGTATCTTTACTTAAATATATTAGGTAGTTTTAAATGTATTTTGATCTTAAAAATTATGTATATACTATTTGTCCGCGACTTCGTTCGCAAATAAAACTTTGTGTGTTTTTCCAGTCTATATTTTTTCCAGTCTATATTCTAGAGCAAGATCCGTTAAGTCGTTCTAGTGGTGCATAATAACAACCATTTATCTAAACTCTCGCATTTATAATAATAATTTATTGATTATGAAAAACTTTAGTAAGTTATATAATAATAGACATTATCGAATGAATATTGATTATAAATCCCATGCGCTTGATTTATGAAATCCCTTTACTCCAACTGCTTTATTCATATTCGATTACGCATACAAAATAAGCCAGTTATGGATTTTCCTTCCTTCAGTCCGTAAATTACCGTTGAATCAATAATACGTTAACATCAGTTTCAACTTTATGAATATGCCTTATTTATTCCAAAATAACTATTTATTTTATAAAACAAAAAAAAAACATAAAGTAAATTCTTCTTTTGGGAAGTCGGTCCTGAGAACTACGGATATTACAGTTTAAAATTAAATAAATTTGTAACAAGATGTCCAAATTTCAACAATTAAAACAAATAGCGATTAATGAGAAAAATAACATGTAAAAAGAATGTCCATGCAGGGGCATCAGTGATGAATTGGACCACATTACAGTTTTCACCTTGACCAATTTCTACGGCAATAGTTGAGTTTACGTAAAGGAAATGGGTGTAGCGGGTGCTAGAGAAACGTTTAACGGCCATATAGCTCGTAGACACGCACGTCTATAGAATAGTTTGTAACGCGATGGTAAATAATAATAGCATTGTGGTTATATTGTCGTTAATGGTGTTTCACTAGGTTTATCATCCCGACTTGTACGGTAAGCAATTTGGAGGTCGTCAAAGAAACATTAACCACCCTTACGGTTTGTTTTTGATCGAAGCTAATGCATTAAAATGTTTACTGACATTTGTTTGCTCTTTATGTATCCAAATAATGTAGGAAAATTGACTCACATTAGACAGTAACGGCATATGAGTAAAATGTTTTGAATGTTTTGGGGGCAAAGTTTTTTTTTGTTATGATCTTAATGACAATAAAATAACTGTAAGTTCACATTGATGTAAAATGCACAGATAAAGTGTTTGTTGTACTGATTTACAAGAATAAAAAAATGCCTATAGTTTTAGTAGTGTAACTCACGTGGAAATAAACACAATACCAAAGATTAGAAACTCCGAAGATGCGCTAATTATGTTAAATTTTGTTATTGTGGTCCTAAACATGTAATAATCGTATAAAGTTGCATTAACGCCGCAATCATTTCCTCTTTATCTAACATGTGGGTAATAACAAGGATGGAGAATCCGCATTCGATGTACCGTAGTGCTGGTTGTCTTAAACGTAAGTCTATTTTAGAACGTACTAGAAGCTTAAGTAATCGTGATACTGCCCAGACAACTTTAATAACCAACTTATCATCATAATTCCACAACTTTTAAACTGACTTTTATAAGAAGGCGGTTTTCAATTCGTATGTATGTTTCTTTTTGTATTTTTGAGTACGCCAATTTCTTGTTGTCAGATTTCAGTAGCCTTTTTAACTTTTACATGAATAGATAAGTTAGCTGAATTCTTAACAAAGTAAATAACTTTTAAAACTCTTAGTAAACGATATTTTCACACTTAGCGGTTTCCAAAAAAAAACATTTAAGCAAGTTAAAGAATATTTAAAGTACTTACAGTATGTGGCACTTGTCAGCCTGTCAATGGTGTCTTGTTTTAGTTTAGAGTTCTTCTTGCCCATGTCTACGCCTTTTTGTACCTCTGACGGAGTGAAGTGTTCGCTGACAGTACTAGTCACCGATCGGTGACTTATGACATGCTATGACACGCTCTTGTCGTTATTAACCTGTAAACGGAGATATTACGTCATTCATGGGTTACTTCTACGAAAATATAACTTCTATGTTAATAAGTAAATAAGATACTAAAGTTAATTTAATAATAAATTACAAATGAGTCAGTACGTCAATTATTAATTACATTTTTTATAGAATAAGGTGGCAAACGAGCAAGCGGCGACCCGAATCCGCCTGAATGGCGAAGCGACCGCTGCACATAGACATCCGCAATTACAGATGCGTTGCCTACCCTAAATCGACGGAGGAGGATATTTCCCCTTCTTATATGTACATTTCCTCCACCGTCAAATTCTTTCCTTGTAAGAAAATGGTGGAACGGAAAAGACAATAAAATTGGGCCTCTGGGACTTCACGCATCAGACGAAACGCGGAATTGCTTCCACTTCACGCCTGTCTTCTGTGTGGTCGTGGTATAACACGGGGCTAATCGACCCATTCGTAGGATAATGTTAAAGCAGGCTCTAGCACTGTCAAATAATAATGAGGTTGTTTAACATAACTTGGATTTTATGGTAAAAATTATGGTCAGATATCATCAATAATAATCATTACTTACTTAACTAACTACCGTTTAATCGAATATATCCAATATCCAAGGCTACTTTTATTAAATAATACAATTATGGCAGCAGGTGTAAATGTGATAATTGAATGAAAAAGGATGGATAACGACGCAATAATCTTTTTGTATCGATAACAGATATTCTTAAGACATCTTAACATCTTGTACAAGAACACACGGATTATGCAGACACCGGTAAGCCTACAAAATGCAAAAACGTGCCCCTGTTGAAACGTTACGTTATTACTTTTTCTATGTCAATATAAACAATAATCTCATCCTAATTTTATCTATTGACACTTTTACTCACACAACTATAAATTATTGCTTCAGAGTTAACAAAATCAAAATCATGCCAACTAATAAATAATCACACAGGCGACCGCACCGTCTAGATCAGTTCTGAATAAAAATTCCAGCAAATTGCGTCAATTACAAGCATTTCTATGTAATATTGGATGATTCTACGCTGTATCAATTTTTGAACCTCCGGTTTTATGAAAATGTTGCCATCCCTATCAAGTAAAAAAAAAGATAGAAACAGTGTTCCGACACAAGTGTTTGATATTCCCAGTTATAGTCTAACAAGGATGTCTGGCCCGTTGAGAGAGAGCTGCTATCGCGGATAGAACTTCCAAAATAATTTAAAACCAACTTGGGCATTCAAAATGCATAAAAGAAAAAAACGTGACATGAGAGCTATGAAAAAAAGGATTTTGTGACACTTTTGACACAGATACTCGCTAGTGAGCTGTCATCATTTAACAACTAAGCCTACCAGGTCAGATATCCTAGTCGATCTATACGTTATTACCGTACGCATAACTGTCAAAAGTTGACAGCATAATGACAAGATTCTATAGCAGACCTAACGAAGGTTTACATTGTACCGACGACTTTATTACCTTTCAATGTAACTGTTCACTATCTCTCCTCCTGAAGGTAAGACCACGTGAATACCCCATAACTGTCTTCAATAAGTTATCTCTTTCTTAATGTATCTGAAACGATGGAGAAACCCTTTTAACTATGAGATACTATTGCACGTATTATATGTATCTTTCACAGGGTTTTCGCATCGCTGTTATTAATGGATATAATCGCAAGCATTTGCATACTTCAATCTCATTCGCCATTTGTTGAACGTAAACTTAAAAGCTTTAAACGGAAAGAACTTAAAAAAACCATTGTTGTTAGAATGTTTGATAGCGAAAAGTAACTTTCAAGACAAAAGAAACAAAAGCTCTCCTATTGAATATTCAATAAAGAAAGAAAGGAAAACATGCGTAGAAAATAAACACTTAATCAACCGGCGGAAAACAAGGCAATGTTATTCGAGATGAAATTCGCAAAGCAGAAACATCGAAGCTGAATTTGCAACCGTGTAATACGATGTCGTAACGCCCTATAAATTGTTGTAGAAATGTCGATAGGATCCGTTGCGCAAATCAAAGCTTATGTCTACATTCGCCAGCAATAAATGTCTACCCGGTCCTGGTGGAACAAATCTTAATATACAAACGAAAATCGAAGATTACGGAATAATCCTAACTAACTCATATAAAATAACAATTAAGATAACAACGTTCTGGATCGTTTCTACCGGAGGAACAAACTTTTACAGTTAATATCAAAAGATGGTACGATTCATAGATTAATCACATTGACCTAGAGAGGCTAGTAGGCATTAACACATTAATAAATTACTTTTCTCGACTACCGGTACATATGAAAGGAGAGTTATTATTTTGGGACTTACTATCAGATAGAGGTTTGGTTACTTCATCGTCGGAGAAGCACAAAATAGATAGTTACACTCGTTTATTATCTGTGCACTAAATAAAGTTCGTTTAGCACCTCGCGTTCGAGAGATATGCCCGTGCGTCGAGACGCTATAGGCACGCCTTTGAAACCAGTTTGCTTCTACTGCAAGTTTTTTTAAATGACAACTTTATTGTAGTGGCTATTCGGAATAAAATGATCATATCTGACATGAGCCGTTGGGATAAAATTGTTTGTATTATTCGAAATGGTTTACCTACAGTCAATTGTTTTTAACTTAAAACGATACTTTGACGTAAGTTTAAACTAAAATTTTATTTTACAATAATGTCTTAGATTTAAGTTTTAAAGGTTAATCCATAAGGAACTTGATACACGAAGCTTTGGAAGTTTATTAAGAATACTTGAAGGTTGGCTCGGTTTATCATGAAAATATATCCCTTGTGGGCAAAAGTTTTGATACTCTAGTTTATACTTAAAAATCACACTTCATACTACTATTATAAATTTGAATGTTTAGATGGATGGATAGAGTAGAGAGTTTGTAGCCTAAACGGCCGAACGGATCTCGATTAAATTTAGTATAAATGTAAAGTATAGTCTTGAAGAACACATAGGCTACTCACTGTAGTTTTTTAATTTGTATAACTCTAAGTTTTTTATTTAGAAATCTTCATCACCCAATTATTAAATATACTTAAAACATTAGATTGTGGGTAATTCTAAAACCACTAAGCTAGAAGCTTAGCCGACTGTTTCACTGGATCTTGCAAAGATAGTTGGATAGCTCTAGATTAGTTTGATTCAATCAATATGGCATTTGGTTCGTCGCGCACCAAATGTATTGAATATCTAGTTCTCAAAGTTAGGAGCTACTTGATGAGAACTAATCCTTTGTACTTGAATGTTCATTTATAAAGGATTACATAACATATATGGCAATAACTGGAAATAGGAATAGATTTATATCTATACTAAGGAATTCTGCCAGAGACAAATTAACGACTCTGAGTAGGGTATGTCCTTTGTTACCTTTAAGATCTACGTAAGTACATATATGGTCAATATTATAGGAAGTACCTGTTTGAAAACGGTGACCTAATTGCAATAGAACTGTTTGGGCTAATGCCAAAAACCAATGTACGAATAAGAATAGAAATTTTCGTCCCTAACAATTTTAGCTTTAGAGAAATTGCTTTTAGAAATAGAATGTACTTCAATACGGGATATGAAAATTGTTAACAAATAAACAGTAGCCGCTTTCGAAGAACTACTCTGAAATATTTTAATGTGCGCAAAATATACGATGAATTTTCTTCATTCGTATACTAAGAAAAGCTTCATTCATTGTTTAGATTCACGTACTTTAAGGATGTAGAAGTAAGCGGTTCACAGTTAAGAACTATTTATAACATCTGAAAACTCAAGCGTCACAGGTGCGTAGCCTCTGTTGGATTGCAGGTAGCTCTTAGATACCTATTAAAAATAAACTTTTGGCAGTGTAATGTACCTACATGAATGATTATAATAATATTAAAAACTGACCTCTACATCTATGCCAAATTTCATCGAAATTAGTTCTTTAGTATTTGCTACAAACTAACAAACATTCATCCATCCATCTAAACTTTCGTATTTATGTTACTTGTAAGATTTATCGAAATAAATAACTTTTTTTTTTACTTTTGAACAGTTTATTGAAAAATTTCTAGACTAGTTACGCAATGCGGATGCGAATAGAGCGGATTTATTCTGCATTCCGAAAGTTCGAGCTCGTATGGAAATATGCGACCTAAGCGACGAAATTGACTGGAGTAAAGTTAAATATTTCTTATTTCTGGAAATAATACTCGCAATATAATAGTAATATTTGTGCTGATGTTATTATGATATAATGTCAATAAAAATCGACAATATGTTATCTGTTTGAGTATTTCCAGAATACTGAATAAATTATAATACGACTGTCACGTGTCCTTTTTAGATTATTTCAATATTAACATAACGGAATACATATTAAAGATATTTACATCGTAAGTAGACCTATATCATCATAAACTTCCCATTTTCCCAACAGAGGGTAGGCACAGAATGTGCTGCTCGTCTATACTTTTCTATTACTCGTCATATTTGAATCGACTCCATTCAAATCTTCTTTCACACAATCCATCCATCGTTTCTTCGGTCCTTCTAGAGGAAGATCTTTCTAGGTAGACCTAAGTAGACTTATATAAATGGAAAATATTATGATATATGGTGCTATCGATCTGTGATTCAGTGCGTGGGTTACGTTTGAATTGTTAATCCATATTGCTTTTCCTATTTTTATTCACGTACGTAACAGCGTTAGTTCGTTAGCCAGTGTCCTAGATAGTTATCATGAAATCCTCTAAGCCGTCTGTGACCTATGGTACGTAAGAGCGTGCGCACATCTAAAACTAAAGTATCGCACAACTGTTTAGTCCAGATTTCTATGAGCTTATAGGTGCTACTCGATTTTTAGATGTGCAACTAAACAGTTAAGTTGCCTGCGAAACAGTCGACAATCGCACAACAGTTGTGCTATAGTCTAGTCAAAGATGTCCACCAGCTATAATAATGATTTTGATACTGTCACAAAATCGTATTTTACTTTGAAATGTACTGAAAAAAATATTACTTACGAAACAGTGATAATGATAACGTATACCAATTCGAAAAAACCTTTTAAAAATTGAATTCTATCTCTAACGAGCAAAACAAAAAAAACGCGTACTAAGCTGCGGAAAATAGCTTATAAACAACGACTGAAGTAGTTAGAAAACCGCTGTGGAAATATAAAACGCGAGAAAATAAAAATGTACGCGTAACATTCGATCGTTTTTTGTCAGATATGGGAATACATTAAAAAAGATATAGGTCTCGTATTGTTTGACACCGGTTGAAATTAGACAAACAAACGATCTGTCTCGAGCAAGTCTCGCGTAATGTTTAAACAAGCCAGCTGTCAGTTGCTCTCATGATGACATGGGTTACTCGCGACGATTAATGAAATGGTATGGCTTAGCTCCGCTAAGGTAATCGCGGCTTATTACGAAATCTAAAATTACATAAGGGTTTCATTAATGTACACGTAATATTAGTCCTCCAATTAATTATGCATTTACAAAACACTTTCAAACTACTAAGTTAAGTAATAATAGGTTGCCTAAGAAATGTCCGTTGAAAATTGTATTCAAGCAAACTTTATCAAGCTACGGATTCTTTCACAAAACACATTGTCACCGTAAAAGCTTTGTGGTTCGTAGCAACAACACTACGTTATTATACTAAGCTGTATTTGCTAAAGACATTTTAGACAATATGTTATTGATATTTTGTAGAATGTACAGCTAATAGCTAATAGCGTGGAAACAAAAAAAAAAACAAAACAAAAGCAAGTAGACTATAAGTTCTTTCAGACTATCCTCTATATCTAAACCAAATTTCATCCATATCCGTTTAGCTTTTTAGGCTACAACTCATTATATCGTAGTTTATTTGATATGTAACGTTCCTCAGGTTTGTATTTCATGCATTTAGAACTCTGTCACTTTGAAGTGAAATGACGAGCTCTCTGTTAAGTGGAAAGTAAACATTAGTTGGAAATAGAAAACGTTGCCTCTATTTGCTCTGGGTATAACGTTGCTTTAAAATTGTACTTTTAATTTATAGAAATGGGAATTATTTTGATATAGTCTTCAGTTGTGTTAATAGTAAAAAATATTTTATGTGTGAAAGTTATGAGCACCTTAGAGAGATAATAAGAATTATAGCTTCATTCTGGATATTCTGTTTTAATTTTTATGCCATTAAATTGATGAAATAAACAAATTATATAATGAAAATATGCGAAGGATAATTAAAATTGTATACGGTGTAAATAAAAAGTGAAGTACAGGTTAAAGAGATAACTTTTATAGTACTTTCTTTTAATATAAAATTATATTCAGGATTTTTTTTTAAATATTATTATAATATTAAATTATTATTATCATTATCACCAGCTCACTATACATCCCCACCAAGGGGCTCGGAGCCTACCCTAATAAGGGGTGACTAGGCCATAGTCAACCACGCTGGCCAAGTGCGGGTTGGTTGACTTCATACATATCTTTGAATTTCTTCGCCGATATGTGCAGGTTGCATCACGATGTTTTCCTTCACCGTAAGAACGTCGGGTAAATTATGTACATATGAAAATTCGAAAAATCACATTGGTACACGGCGGCGGGATTCGAACCCAAGACCTGTGGATTACAAGTCAAGTGTTCAAACCACTGAGCCACCGACACTCCTTCCTTCTTTAATATAGTTTCTGTAAAACCTAGTGCAAGACTACTTTAACGTTGTCAGTTTATGACGTGGAAGGCAAGGAAGGCAAGGAGTTGAAAGTATAAAGTTTGAAAGATAAATAAGATTTGCTGCCGTGGACGGTGGCACTCGACTTTAAAATGTTGTCATAAATTCATAGCTTTTTACCACCATGAGTGTTTGTGTTGAAAAATAAAGTTATGAACAAATTTTTAGGATTTACAGGATGAGTGGATGACTGTAAATTATACTAATATAATAAAGCGTAAACACATACTTCTTTGTTGCCTAAGATGTCAGCAATCACAGCATATTTTCCAATAACTCTTTTTTTAATAAAAAAAAGTCCTACAATTACGTCACGCTTTAGGCTATATATTTTCACGCCGTTAAGCTTAGGGGTAAAAATTTTGGATAAAAACCCTAATGTGGGAAAGAGACCACGAGTTGGACAACATCAAGGAAGCAAGGTTGCCATGATTTGACATATGTCATTTTAACATTTGCTATTGATAATTTGACAAATGTGAACAATAAAATGATATTTTTATAATTTTATGCGGATTAAGTCGCATGGGAACAGCTAGTGAGATATATTCTATCAAAGAAAGCGAGTACTTGTGTTTGTGCAAATATTTTTTTACAAAAAAAATCACACAAACATGTACAAATCAGTAACAAATTTAAATCGTATATTATTAAAACTTAGTTATTCATGACGCGATAGCATTTTTTTCATAGATAGTGTTAGAAACATATGGCCCTTTAAGCCGGATCTTAGAGAACGAG